ATTTTAAAAATAACTTCTCCAAGGTCAGTTTTCTGAGGCAAGTTTATATTTTCTCGAGCATAAAATGTATTATTTGTTTGTTTTCTACTTCGTTGGTCAATTTGGGACCAAGCGGGATGATTCATTTGATACAGTACTCTACTTCCTAAATTTCTTAACTATCCTCTTTTAATTTGAAGCAATTTTGATGCTAGGTGACAATCATATGATAGAAAAAGTCCTAGAACTTGAGCTTGGGGGAGATATGAATCACAAGAAAAGTATGGTCATTTTCATTTTCACTTGCTTTATACATTCCAACTTACGTGTCTTCATGGTTCCCATTTGGATCATTCAAAAAGCTTTTACATATATTTAACTGATGAGGGAGCCAGCGTGGCAGACTATGTTCTGGGGTCACGCTCTGTGATCCTCTACATGCAGTCTTTAGTAACTGATGACAGCCCTGAGTGATCTCAAAATTTCAGTAAATACAATCTAGAGTTTTAACAGATCGTTAACTGCCAGGTCACATACAAGGAGAGACATGGCTTAAATGCTCTCTCAAAACTGACATCAATATAAGAGCTATGACAGCATGCTCTTAATAAGACTCAGAATATTCATGAGACAGATCTGAATGCTTGTTTTTAGAGATGGCATGGCTGGGTTGTTGATAAACACCTCAATGAGCTATTAGAGCAATCTCTTTTTAAATTGAATTTTAAAAAAAAATTCTAGGAGGTATATTATACTGTAACCTTGCCTATTGGAGCTTTCCCCCTCCCTCTGTTTATGCACCTGCCCTGTTTTCACTGACTTTATTGTATTTAATATTCTTAATATTTTATCATCTGTAATTTTTACTAATTATTTTATCTTTTGTTATTACCGTTAACTTTCATGTTTACCGATCATGTGGGTGTTATTGGGGTTGTTTGTACTGTGTTATTATAATTTGTTTGCTGTTAGGAGTATCTGCCATTAGTTGCTGAGATAAAAATATAAATAAATGAAAAAATTTAAATAATAAATAATTATAAACTTGCTCATAAACTATAAAGTTATCGTTGTTACTGTTATTAAGTAGGAGAAAAAAAATACTTTTTTAGAACCTGAAGCTTTCTTGTAGAACTTGAATCTTCAATAATTATAATTGGCACATAATTAATGATATTCCTTAAAAAGTTACAGTTGCAGAGGGAGAGGACTAAAAAGCTATGATGAAGAAAACCCTGACAGCTTCTTACAAACCTGATAAAGATACTTTTGTCAGATTTTTATTTGTTTGTTTGCTTTAACAATATTAATATTATAATTTATAGCCAGTAAGTTTTGACTTACGGCAAGGCCTTTCAGATTTTTTTTCTAGACAGAAAGTACTCTGAAATGGTTTTTCATTCCCTTTTTCTGGGGTTGCCCTGGGAGTATTCAGTTTGCCCAAGGGCACATGGGGTGGCTCTTCTCTTCCTAACCACCTAACTGACTCGGCTAGCTTTGAAAATACTACTAGTTCTCAGAGCAAGCAAGTTGAAAGCAGACAGGCAAGCAGAAAGAAATAAAAAAGATTAAACACAAGTTAACCTTGCTTGTTTATTTAGCCCTCCGGGCACATTGAACACTTCAAATCACTAATAGACCTGTAAGAGTCAATAAGAGTTAATTGGGAATAAAGATTAGGATGCAGGCTTTACACCCCTGAAAAAGAGAGAGGGAAGAAATTCTTCACAAATAATTGATGTCAAGAGGCTTACTAAGAGATAAGATTAGATCTTTAAAAAGAATCATGCTTCCAAAGCAAGCTATAATTTGGCACAGGTATGCAATCCCAAAAATGTGAACACTTTTCCCCTCATGGAAATGCCAGCTTTTTTCCTGCAATCATTAAAAAAAAGTTACAGGTTTATAATAAAACATGAGCACACCATATAAAGTTAAACCTTATATGTTTAATTTTGCACCCTCCTCTTTTTTTAATAACTTTTCCCTCCCTTGTTATAATTAAATTCCACTCCAGGGAGACATTTCTGTTAGCTGTTACCTACTTGCAGCATCTTTTGTCTGCCTTTAAGAGGAAAAAAAAAGTTAAAAAAATCTTCTCTTGAAATTGCTTTGACATATGGGGGAAAGGAATACATGTTAGGAATTAAACTTTTTCCCTCCTTAGTGGCACAAATAAAGCCCAGATATGTGCTTGTGGTGCTGGGGATTTTTAAACTCTGGTTCATTTTGCTCTGCAAAAATGAAACTCTGGTTCATTTTAGGGTGAAATCCAAAGGTTAGTCCTAACTAAAGAGTCCAGGGCTTCTTTCAAAGAAGAAACAGGTTGATGAAATCCAAGCTGTTTCCCTAAACCCAGAGATGTCATGGAGCCAAAGGTAATAACACCAGTAAGGCATACAGATCATTACCTGGTTTGCTTTGGTACAATAACGAAGAAGTTAGTATTGTTTTTTCTGTTGATTTTTGTGGGTTTTCTGGGCTCGTGTTCTGAAGGTTGTTGTTCCTGATGTTTCGCCAGTCTCTGTGGCCGGCATCTTCAGAGGACTGGAGTAAGAAGAGTCCTCTGAAGATGCCGGCCACAGAGACTGGCGAAACATCAGGAACAACAACCTTCAGAACACAGCGAAAGAGCCCAAAAAACCCACAACAACCATCAGATCCCGGCCATGAAAGCCTTTGAGAATACATTGTTTTTTCTGTTGGAAACTGAGATTTGTTTTTGTTGGCCATGGAGAGATGTTATGTGTCTGTGATGCTGATTTTGTGCATTTCTGAAAAGGTTGGTTTATTAGGAAAAGTGGTATAAGTTTTACATAAAGTAAGCAACGGATAGTGTCTGTTTCTTGAGTATCTTTCCAATGACTCAGTGTGTCTTTTCATGTTTGATGAGCAAATGTGCAAAACTACTAGTTTTGCATATTTGCATTTTGCACAAAAATGTAGAAAATGTGGCAGGAAAAAAAACCTTGTTCTCTTCCTCTTACACTGGAGTTTAGGACTCTGATAGAGGTTAGAAACCCCTCAATACTTTATCTCCCATGTCAAGGTTGCCAATACAAGACATTGTTGAGGAAAACTCAAGACATTGTTGAGATTTCCTCTCATCCATAGGGCCAATCTTACCATGACGCCTGGATAAAAGGAGACCATTTGTCTTTTGCCTCAGGCAGAAAAATGTATTGAGTTAAGGCTGGTCATCATACTTGCTGACCTGAGATTCCAAAAATGTGGAAAGAGGACGTGTGACTCATTTTCCCCATTGTTTATAAACACATCTGACACCACCCTTGGTCATGAGGCAAAGCTGTTTTTTGTATGTTCTTCTGAACTCTGTGCTTGCAGTCTGTAGGGATGAATTGCGGGGCCGAGGCATAAAAGCAGGCCTGTAGGGATCTGTAGTTAAAGCCATGTGATTATGCTGAAGAGACAGATGTGGTAGCAGGTCATCCAGTTGATGATTTTTAATGAAGAATGGAAAGTACAAGTATTTAGATAAACACTGTAGCCCATTTTCACAAGTTGTGTTAATCTGTTCAGAGCATAGTCTGTTGCAGGGTCTTATGGGCATCCCTAACATTAAGCAGGATAAGTCTATCACCCCAAGCAGCAAATTTTGTGTGTCATGAAAGCTAAATAATAAACGTAAAGAATTAGTTATTTAGGTTGATGTTGTATATATAGTACAGTACTTCTTTTTAGGGAAGGGAAGAGGCACTTGGTTGATTTTCTGCCCCAGCTGCCTAAATAACTCCACCAGAAGTGATATAGCGCAGTGGATTGGACCACTTGGCTGCAGAGCCCGGGGCCAGGAATTTAAATCCCCACTGTGCCCCCCCTCGGAGGGCGGCCAGCTGAGATAATTCGGAGCAAGTGGGGCTATGTGTCCTGCCACCTTTGAGGGCTCAGGCAAACGGCATGGTCTTACAGCACCAGCATAAGGAAGAGCTGGCCTGCCAATTCTGAGCACTTTATAGCTAGAAACCTTTAGGAAGATAAGCTTAGGACAGAATTGATTAGACGGCACATACTGTAAATAGTAAATAGCTTTGGGTACTACGCCTCTCGTTTCAGAAGGATGCGGGTTGTTAAATATCTCAAGGGGAGAACTTCAAGGGAAGTGAGGGAAACCCAACCCACAGGACAGAAGCTATGAGAGGGGGGCTCTAAAGAGGGGCTTCTCAAATCTGGACCGAGCCCAGCTCTTGCATCTAAAACAGTAGAGAATGCTAAGCACCTGAGAGGGTCACAAGACACTTTATGACTCTAGCAGTTCTAAGGGCTTCTGTGCTCAAGTCTCAGTTTTATTCTCTTTTTTCTTAAATGGATTTCTTAAAATGTTCACTGCTGCACTCCACCATTTCTTACATGAAGAATGTGGGACCATCCAAAAGTAACTGAAGTACAATTACAGACATCCCTTATATTGTCCATATTAGCTGAGGACGATGAGAGAAGGAGCCCAGGGGCATTTGGGGGAATAAAACGTTCCCCCCCCTCATGTTGTATGTGAACTCAGTATGCAGAAATTCAGGTGAAGAACCATTAATTATGTCTCAATTTTAACTGCTCAGATTTAGATATTACAAGAGGTATAAAGAAGGGGATTAACAACATTCATTTGTACAAAAAAATTTATAGTTCAAACATTCTGTTTAGAAAGAGAAAACAATACAATATACCAAAAAATTTATTTAATAAATTAAAAAATGTCATTATGCTTGGCAAAGTGTGGGGAGGAAAAATGTTAAATTAGTTTTTAATTTGTTTAATTAAATGGACTCATGAGATTTGGGCAGGGGGACTTCATGTATATTCTGAAACAAATATGAACAATATGTTTAAAAACAGGAAGAAAGGGGGACATGGGGCTTACATTCCACAAACTTTTTCATTAATTGTAAACATAATCCAGAATTTAACACATTTTTAAAAATATATGTTAGTGACATAGATGAAAGCAAATTTAGCTTTGTATAATAAAGCATTTGATTTTTTTTTAAAAAAATTATTTTGTTGCATTCACAATTTGGAGCTTCAAGTGGAAGTCACCTATTTTTCATAGATGGTAATTCATTGAACTCATTTAGATGAGTTAAAAAAAAGTTCTTGACAGTTTTAATCCCATGAGAAGGGATTGTATTGTCTCCAAACTAAGATATATCCTGGTCTCTAAATCATGAGGTTGCATCAATACACAAAGGTGGAGTATCTGGTGGTCTCCAAGCTCTCCTCATCCTTCACCATCAACCATAGTGATGCGTTTATGGAATTCCAGTCCAACAACAGATGAAGACCTATAGATTTCCCAATCCTGGTGTACATTATCTTTCTTTTACATCTATCCAGTTCAGCATTCGTTCCCTGCCCTGTATCTGTCTGATGCAGAGCTCTGTGTAGCTCCAGTAGCTTGCTGCACTCAATAGGGTTGCCACAGGGGGCAAAAAAACAGCAATACTTCTGTTTCTTTAACAGCATTGTGAAAGGCAGGTATATCAAACACAACGCTTTCCTATCACTGTTTGAACCTCCATGTTAGGAAAAAAATTAGCCTGTTGAGTTCCTGTCTAGCTTCAAAACTCTTAAAGACACAGCAACTGACCCCAGATACATGGCAACTAAGATCTTATCAACACAGCCAGAACAGACACAGGGCCATGTTATTAATGAACCCTATATTTTGGAGGGCTGGGGGAAGCCAAGCCCTGCTCTTGTAAAATCTTGATGAAGAGAAGCTACTATAAATGAGCTATTGATGTATGATCAAGTTGCATTGGGGTGGAGGAGGGAGTGCCTTGGCGTAAGCCGCCTTCCCACATTCTGCCACAGTGGCTAGTATTGGTCCTTGAGCAGGTCGGGAAGTCCACCTATGTCTTTGCAGTCATCTCCTGCCAGAGAACTTCCCATGAAGAGAAAAATGCTGGTGATCCCTTTGAAGAAGCCACTTCTTCCAGTCACATGACCTATTTCCCTGCTCCTGTAGTCCCAGACCAGAGCTTCCAAAGAAGAGGCGCAGCAGATGGGTTGGCCCTGCCTTTTGTCACATCACTGGAGGCCTCCCCATGGAGTCTTGGTGGTGTTGAGGTTGGTGGTACCAAGGTCCAAAACTGTTGATATAGCTGTTGGGGGGCAAGGGGGCTCCTTTACATGCCATGGGAATGTCCCAGAGTGGGGGGAGGTTGGGGGAACAGGGAGACAAAGAGGAGGAGCTGTGGAGATGATCTTCTTGGATGCTGGAGCCCTGCTTCATAATCTTTTTGAACTTAGACCGTTTGTTCTGAAACCAGATCTTGACCTGCAAAAGTGGTAGCCAGAGAGATATTAAAGAGCTGAAACAAATTTCAGAGGTATATGTGCAACTATGTTAAAAGCAAATTCTTAAAAATTGTATTTTCCTGCAAACATTATATTTCTTGGCTAAAAGGGTGGGGGGAAAATCTAGAGATTGGATTCCATATGCTGGATGTCCTGCAGGTGCTTAGACTTCTGTCTATTTAACCATCGTATCGTACTAGTAGAAAAAGAAAAGATAAGAGGTAGTACATAGCAATAATAAAAAGAGCATATGTGTCCATATATCATTATTACTATCTTAGAACTGCAGAGCTAGAAGTGACCCTGTGGATCATCAGGTCCAGCCTCTGTCAAGGAGGCACAGTGGAGAATCAAACTCCCAACATCTGGCTCCACCACCAGATACCTAAACCACTGAGTTGTTTCTATGAGGATTGCCACAGATGGAGACACAATTTGGGGTAGGCAGAACTGTAACCACCAAATCACAGGTGTGTTTTACAGCGCCTATGACATAGCCCCTATGTATTGTGCTCATGCTCAAATGAGTGAGTCTACAGTCCATAGTTTGGTTTACTTGCTAGAAACATCAGCAGCTATTTAGTGTGCATCGTCCTATTTCCAGTGATCTTGCCCCTTTCTTTTGGTCTAGATTTTAAGATCAACCTAGAAGGAGGCATCTAGGAGCACTCCGAGGATCAGTAAAATGATACAATATCTTCCCCTCCACACACACACTTCATAATGTTTCCCATAATTTCTTATTATTTAAGTCCGGAACAATAGCATTGCATCTCCCAGACTACTGCAATAATGAAGGATGGGAATGGTTGTGGAGCGCTGGTGACTTGCTTTCAGGTGATCTGGCAACACACACTGGCAACCTGCCCTCACTTGCCTTTCTAATGGACTCTGTGGCTGCCTGACCCTAGCTAGCTCTTTCAGGAGGCTTGCCTTCTCTATCGCCTCTCCCTTCTCTCAAAAAGCTGGTTGAGCAATGGCATTTGTAGAAAGATCAGAGCGGGCAAAGTGTAAACATTGGTCTCCAGGGCATTTCAAGGAGGTGGAAAACTACAAGAGAGAAAGAAAGGAGGAGGAGGAAACAAAATCTGTGATTTACCCCTCCACCTTAGATAGTCTGCCCTTATAACCTCTAAGTCGTATCTTCTCCATCTGAACATCTCACAAATTTCAAGTCAAGGGAATGTTTCATGTATTACACAGTTCACATTGCAAGGGGGAGAAAAGCAGAGGTTGAAATGTCTAGACTCGAGATCACAAGACTGAGGATCGTTCAGTCCAAAACAAACAAGCAAACAAAGAGACAGGTGGACAGATAGACAGAACCACAAGGAAACTCCAGAATGTGCTGGTCATGAATCAGAGAACTTGGAATAGTTGCTATTGTGGACGACAATTCCCACAATCTTCCTGCCAGCATATAACTTTTCCAGGCTCTACAAATCACCCAAGCAAAGGGTTCCTTGTAACCAAATGGAATATTTTCAAGAGAAGAACTCCGATGCTGTTAATATCTCTCTGCTTCGTCCTCACCTTTGACTTTCAGTGCTCCTTGGCAGTCTCCGTGTTGCCTTGTGCACCTCCCCTTTGTCTTTCCTCTCCTTCTGCCCTGTTCCATTGCATCTCTTGTTTGCTTACTTATTTGAGAAACAAGAAGCATCAGGTCTGGTTCAAAAAGCCAAACCAAAAAGCGGGGAAGGGGCTAAGGGTAGGAGGGGTCAAATATAGTCTGCACGTGGTCAGAGGCAGTTGTTTTGATTAATCCTTTACACTTTCAAAGTGGTAAGCATTTTAAAAAGTTTGTCTTTAAATGGCCACCTGGCTTCTTCCACAGTCTTCTTTTTCATGGAGCCCCTCGTTTGAAGGTTTGTATCCAGGCAAGGATGAACAGGTGGGAGCTTTGAAACTGGGCTTCAACAGTGAGCATCTGAACAGGTGGACTGATCAGACACACAGGTCACTGAGTCATAGGTCTTCCCTACTAAAGGTAGGTCCAAGTTTGCATTTAAGCCTATATACATCAGCATAAAGCAACATTTATGAAGTCCTTGGTTAGTTTTTTTTGGAGGAGGGTAATGCACTATATCTCATTCCAGAGGCAAAGCAGTAGTTATTAATCCATGAAGGTTCCATGAAAAAGACCCCAGGTTTAACACCTGGCATATCCAGGTAAAAGGATGTCACAAGAGGATGTGAAAGGCCCTTTGATCTGAAGGGTCCTTGGATCACTGCTGCCAAATCAAAGTAGACAGTAGTGTCATAATGCAGAGTAACTAAAGCTACTTTTCAAGACTGTAATTTCCAGAATTCCCCAGCCTAGAAACAATCTGGGAACTCTACCCTGAAAATCCAACTTTTCTATCTTTTTGTCTACAATGAATTTTCCTTTAGGTCATCTTTACTATCTTCAGACTTTTGTAGATTTATAAGTTTCTGGGAAAAACAAGTGGGACCTGCAATGCAGTGTTGCAGTTTGGAGCACTGTTGTTAAGAATCCCAGCAACTGCATTCTACCCACCCCAACGTCACATACACCATCTTGATTTTATGTCACTTCCCTCTTCCAAGAGCCAGGCAGCAGTGAGGATCACCAATCATGCTCAGTCTTCCTTGGACTACATTATGGGTCCCCCCCTCTTTTAATTTCGACATACTAGGGTGTTCCCAAATGTACTGTCATGCCTCTCTCATGCACATGGATGATGTCATTCTGGCTAACCTAAGCAACATCATCCACAGCCTGACAATTGTAAATAGATGGTATGATTTCACTATTTATTGCATTATTTAAGCACTTGCACTCCAACCAGCTCCTTCCTTCTCTAATGCTCTCACATGCTCAAAAGATGGATTGCTACTCTGTGTGTGAACACTCATCTCACTTTCATCATTGGAAAACAGGCTTTGCAGGTCTTGGCACCGTTTCAGAAACCTATAAAACCTGTTTGTCAAGAAGGAAGGCTGGGACAAAAAAAAGTGTGTATGCATTAGGAGGAGCTAAGCTTCTCTGAAAGCACCTCCAGCTTTCTTTTTAAAAACACTGTGTATTGTTGTTTGTCATGGACCTTCCATGAACAAATGTAGAGTATTTAGACCACAAGACACAAATCTGAAAGCAGTTGAATTGCTTTTGTGTTGACAAACACTGTATTCATGCAAAATACACATATATGGAGTGGGGGTAATGTGAAGCTTGCCTAGAACATCAACATACAATTGGAAGTTTCCAAAGAATTTTCATTTATGCCACAAATTGCTGGGGCTCCACAAACTCTTTCAAGGTTTACAGTTAATATAACTGCTCCTGAGGGGGAAAAATAAAATGAGGGAAAAGCTGGTGATGCTTACACTGGTGCACCTAAGGGGGTTTTGTATTTCGTTTTCTTTCATTTTATTTTATGTGTATACCAATGTTCAGGGCAAAAGGCAAGAAAGCAAGAAAAAAAGGAGACAGAGAAAAGCATGAAAGACAAAAAGAAGACCAAGGTCACGTAAAACTATTTTTAAAACTCAACTCTGTTCCTGCGCAGATTCTACTTGTTTCAATGTGCCTCAAGCTGGGGAATGTCTTCCTGGATTATGACCAGAATTTGAAAAGATGTGGGAATTTTAGGAGAATCGGTACTGGCAAAAGTGGGTTCCTCCCACCTGGCAGCCTCTTTTACAGCTGGTTGAACAGCTTAAACAGATCACTACAGACAGACAGATGTCAGGGGTGAGTCCACAGCCAGGGGCGTAAAAAAGATTTATATATTTTTTAGACAGAGAAGAAGTAAGTCAAGTAAAAACCTGCCAAATCTGTACACTCTAGATCGGGGAGTGGAGGCATTCTAAGACTGTGAAGGGTTATAAAATCTGGTGGGGTTTTTTGTTTGTTTATTTGTTTTGGTGTTTGTTTTCTTTTGGGGGGGTTGAGGGGGAACTGCACCGAGTCAGGTTAAGATATAAACCAGAAAGGGGGCCTGTTGTTAATCTCATTTATTCTAATCAGCTGTCATCCATACACAGTCATCACAAAAATGTACGATTTGGGTCCAGGCTGTCTAACGGACCATATTTTTCTGTAACAACCTTCCTGGGCTTTGAGACCTTTGGGACACCCCTTTCCCTCAGTCCTCAGAGGCCACATTTAGCAATGATGGACAAGACTACTGAACCTTCCAAAGATAGAGTTATGGTCTTATTTTTATTTTTCCTTTCTGCTATGGGGTCCATACGGATGGGATTTGGGTGTTTTCTGAACTACAGATACCCTACTTTTCCATTCTGGAAGTTCTACCTACCCTGCAGGGACCATTGAAACACCTCAGTGTGATGCACCAGGGAAAAAGGCTGAAATTACAAGGCTTTGAGGCTTAGCTAAGCCAAGCTCTGCCTAAATTTCCTTTTTGTGCCCCAGTGCTAGCTGGGAGGTTTCTTTCCAAGAAGGAAACTTTTCTGAACTACAGATACCCTACTTTTCCATTCTGGAAGTTCTACCTACCCTGCAGGGACCATTGAAACACCTCAGTGTGATGCACCAGGGAAAAAGGCTGAAATTACAAGGCTTTGAGGCTTAGCTAAGCCAAGCTCTGCCTAAATTTCCTTTTTGTGCCCCAGTGCTAGCTGGGAGGTTTCTTTCCAAGAAGGAAGCTTCAGTAGAGATTGACCTAACTAAGCCTCAAAGCCTTCTGATCTACGCCTTTCTCTCAGGTGCCTTATGTTGAAGTGTTTCAATGGTCTCTCCAAGGTAGGTGCAGAACTTCCAAAATGGAACGTTTCTCTAACTATAGTCCAGAAAATCCAAAAAACTCATTCCTAATGTTCTGTAAAATATTATTTCCCAGAAAATCCAAAAAACTCATTCCTAATGGTCTGTAAAATATTATTTATTATTTAGTTGATTTAAAATATCTTTACCCCACCTTTCTACTTAAAAACGACCCAAAGCAGCTTACATCATTAAAGACACATTAAAAACTAAAATTGGTAAATTAGTCAAATATTTAAAAAGAAAAAAATAACATTACATTTAAAATGTTAGATAAAAGCATTACTAAAAACGAATTTAAAAACAACAAAATATAAACCATCTAATTTATTGCCTCCTTCAGTCAAACACTAAGGAAAAGTCTGTCTGAAGAGAAAGGTCTTGGCATTCACCCCAAGAACACTTGAAACATTCTTGAACGCTAAACTGCACGAGTGTTTCTACTAGATTTAAATTGGCCGTTTCCTCTTCTTCCTCCATTAATACCAGCAGGTATACCTAACTCTGTTGGTGTTAGAATTTAGAAACCCTTAAGTTCCCATCTCACACTGATGGTCGTTCCCTTCCTTCTCCTCTTTTGCTTCCACTCTTCTTGTCTTTCCCACTCGTCTTTCTCTCCTTCCACCTGCTGCTCTTTCATCTTTCCCCCTGCTTATCTCCCCCACTCCTCCCCACTTACCAGGCAGCAGAACATCCCCCTCCTTTTTTAACTATTTGAATACTTTGGGGCTCCTGCAAAGGAAAACATCTCCTGGAACTGAGTAGAGGTTCTCTGAAAAAATCAATATTCAGGCATGATCACAGTTTCTTCTCTAGAGAAGGTTACAAAAGTTTCACACCTAATGGCTGAAGATAGTACTACATCACAGATTAACTATAATTAATCCATTAAAAAAAACAATAGCCTTTGGGCTATTTAGGCTTCATGGTCTTGGAACTATGATGAAGACAGACAGTTGAACATCTGCATAGCTTAGTGTTTTAGGTGAGCTGGGAGTTCGATTCCCCACTGTACCTCCTTGATAGGTGCAAGAGTCAAGATCCACAGGGGGAGTTCGATTCCCCACTGTATCTCCTTGATAGGTGCAGGAGTCAAGATCCACAGGTTTCCTTCTGCAGTTCTAAGATGAGGGTGATGATATATGGATACACATGCTCTTGTATTTATTGTTATAAATTATTTCTCCATCTTATCTTTTCTTTCTCTACTTAGTAAGGCACAATGTCTAAGCAGAAGTCTAACCACTTGTAGGACGTGGTGGTTAAAGGTATCCTATAGGGAAAGCTCACATTCAAATTCCCATGTGGTCACAAATCTTGTTGGAGAGCCGAAATCCGCAGCCTGGGTAGTACTAAATAATGACCTGCCTTAAAGGGCTCTAGATAAAGTGTGTGATGGATTTTAAATATTCTAGTGCACAGTATAAACAATACAGGTACCCTCTCCTGATCTCCATAATGAAGCAGCCAGCTGGCATGGAAGAACGGTGAGGAAAGCCTAGGTCTGAACACCAGCCATATTCCTTCCACACCAGGCCTACCAGTTTTATCTTGGCTTTTACCCTGGGAGGCATGACTGGAGACCACACACCTGCCCAGGGCAGGCAGATTTGAACTAATTTAGCAGCACATTTTTGCACCTTCTAAACGTTGTTGTGCTGGGTCAAAGCCCCTGTCGTTACCACTCTGGCCAAAGTTGCCCATCCTTGTTTTAAACCTTGAATTGCTGCTTCTTCGTTGCTCTTGGCCCAGTTGGCTCAAAGCAGGTTGCAAGTAGGAATTGAAGGCAAGAAACTGACAGACAGGAAAAAAGATAAGATCACTCCTACACAGACAACCTATTCTAGATTCCCATTGGAGGTTGAAAGCTGAGCTGGTAGAGCAAGGATTGACACATGTGATGTAGCATCCTGTACACTCTGAGTAACCATGGTGCTCTCCGGGTCGCTTACTCAACTTGACTTACCTCACAAGAATGTTGCAAAGATAAACAGGATTATGGTTATGGATGTTCCTGGGAAGCAGGGGACAGGAAGATGTGGAAGAGCAATGGTTGGTTAACGCAGTAAATAAATTGCTGCTCACCTGTGTTTGGGTCAAGCCCAGTTGTGCTGCTAACTCTGCCCGCTCGGGTAACGCCAGGTACTGGGTTTGTTGGAAGCGCTGGTTGAGGGCCTGAAGCTGGAGGCTTGAGTAGATGGTGCGTGGCTTACGGATCTTCTTCCCTTTCCCATTGATGCGGATTTCTCCATTTTCAATTATGGTAGATTTCTCAAGCTCTTCAAAATGAAACCATTAAAAAAGAGAGATAAAAGAAAGAAAAAAGGGGGGGAAAGAGTGGGAAGTAAAAGTAAATATGGTATCACCCACATAATTGCAGTCAATTATCTCTTTGACTTTGGGGGACACAGACATCGCCTCCCCAAAGAATGTGATGGCTATGAATACATTTTGGTGTCCTTTGCCAATGGCAGCACTGTGTCAGCTGACCCCCCTGCTCAGAAAGCATCACTGGATTGATTTGAACATAAATGAAGAAGAAGACCTCTTTCATTGTTAATATGAAGCCAGACAGGGGCTGAAATCCTGTTGCACATCACCGCCTGCAGAGCAGGGAAGATTAAAAGCTTCCTTTTGTGATTTCAGAGTACATATGGCTCATGCAGAATGCCATGAAGCCACGTGCATCCCAAAATTGTAAAAGGAAGCCTTTCATCAGTAGCAGTCTGCTGCTGCCAATGACATCATCCCCACTTCACAGGCAGATTCCCCCAGCAGGATTGCGACCAATGTTGGGTTTTAAAGAACCTTTCAAAACTGCAGTTAGCAATTTTGGTGTGCAGGGCTTTGCTTCTTTATTGGCTAAGCTTGGGTCCTGTGAAATTGGTAATAGGTGGGGAGAGGATAGTGAAACACATGAATCTCAATATGAGGTGCCCATAATGACTCTGTGCTAAGCCTGCCTGCTTTGTGTTCTGCCTGGGGAGGAGGTGCTGGAGGTGGTAAGCACTCAAGCTGGGGATGTTCATGCCCTTCTAACAGGCAGTCTTTGCAACCCCTGTGACAGAAATGTTTGCCTCTGGAAATTTCTGAGCAATATATACTACTTTTCTGCCCCTCCTTGAAATCTGTGTTCATTTCTTCTTTTCCTCCCTTAATTTAAATGTGGGGAAACAGTGGCTTAAAATAGAGTTATAAAATAGAGAATCTAACTATAGGTTGGTGATATTCTTGCTTAAGGCACTTGTTATGTGACTGACACCCCACTGCAATTATGCAGTGAATTGAAGAAAGCCCCCTGAACATATTCAGAAGTAATCTACATTCTCTCAGTCTGCAGATGAAACAACTAAAGGCTACTGCTCTTCTCTTGAATAGTGCTCAGTCCTAAATGGGGGAGATGTCGATTATGACTTCCATCCTGGAAGCCAGTCCCTGAGACAGCAAACATGCCAGTTTTGACATCAGCCACACTCAATTTTTTTAAACCTCAGGTTCTTTCCATCCCAGATTATAAAAACATTTGTGGATATTAGTAATTTCTTTAAAAACAAAAGCAAAGCAAAGCAAAGTGTGCTGCTTATATACCACCGCATAGCATTTAAAGCATTCTCTGGGAAGTTTACAATTTAATTATGCAGGCTACACTGCATGCTGGGTACTCAATTTGCCAACGTTGGAGGGATAAAAGGTTGAGTCAATCTTGAGCCAGCTACCTGAACCCATCGTGACTGAAATTAGATTGTGATCAGAATCTTGAGTGTAATACTGCAGTTTTAATCACTTCACCATGAGGCTCCTACACCCCCTTGCCTAAATTGTAGAAGTCAAATTCAATAATTTTTTTAAAAAAACAACAACCCAGAAACAATACCCTCTTGCCTAAATTGTAGACATCAATAGGAACAGTTAGTTTCCAATGTGATGTACCTGCTACAGATCTTTAAATGAGGAGGCCACCAGGAAGCATGAGGAGGCACCTCAAAGCTGGGGGTCAAATTCAGAACTCTTAGAAGTAAAATATTCAAACTTCTAGGCTTTGACAGGTTAATCCATCAGTTTTAGTTTCTCCTGAGTCCATTTTTAGGTTTTGTTCCTTTTTAAAAATCAAGCTTTTTCTATTCTGGATATGGACCATTAGTGAATATTGGCAATGTTTCAATTAAATCAAGCAACATATTCACCGATTCCTAATCTCAGGCATGAGCGAGAGCCAGATACACCAGATATGTACTTGACGCATGCTCCTAGCTACCCCACTGAAGGGTCCATCTCTAGCCATACACACAGGTTTCAGAATACGTCCATGTTTGAGCACAGCTCCTAGCTTGTAGTCAGAAGTAAAACTGGATGTTCAGCAAGCTTACAGATCGCCTGGTAATCCTTCCAAGTGATCATGTGAACCAACTGTTCCACAAGAGACTAAGAGAGGGCCAGTTCAGACATGTCTTGGTTACTTGCAACAGACTGGGAGCACTACCTCCCTAACAAACTGTGAACATTATCTCAAATGGCTTCTTCAAGCCTGCAAATTATCACTGCACAAGTTAAGGCATGGGGAGCAAAGTGTTAACAACACAGAGCACATATACACATGGCGCCATGTTGATTTATAGTGGATGCATTACAGCTCAAACCAATGATGGCTCCCCACATCAAGGAACCCTGGGAATTTGAACAACTGCATGAAGAAATGTTAATAGGAACCAGTACGAAGAGAAAGGCACAGACAGGACCACAGGTGGGCAGTTTCAAAAGGTTTCAGTCCCAGATCTGTAGGATGTGAACCTGCAGAAAATTGGCAAACACTAATATAGAACTGGGGAAGTTTGAGGGCCCATTTCTCTCAGCTCTAGGAACCTCTGCGGCCACACCAGCCACCCCCTCCCCTCAAAGGAAATCAGAAATGACCAGAAGGCCACCTCTAGTTTTGGAAAAACCACTTATGGTTAGGTGCACAGGGAGGTTAAAGTTTGTTTCAGAGGAAATTTTTGCCCTTTGGAGCTGTGATTTCTGATACATTTTTTTGAAATCAGATTTTTAAAAATCAGTTTTTTTCAGGAAGTCCAAGAAGTGTGGAGGAGATCCAGAGGCTACAGAAATATACCTGGAGCTCACATATGAGTCCCCCCCCCCAGAACCCTCCCATATGCATGTAGATCAAGGGTCATCAGAATTAAATGTGGGGCTACGTCCCCTTAGGTGGGGTGCTAGCTATTGAAAAACAGAGCCTCAAGTGTATACCTGCATGAGGTGTCCCTCCACCTGCTACTAGCTTCGAATGGTTATGGGTCAAGGAAAGCTTTGAGAACATTCCTTGTGCCCTCTGCCCAAGCTATACTTGTGGGACCCTTGACTCTTAGCCTACTTTAACTTTACAGTGCAGATATAGGCATCCAGTAGAATATAATGGCTCTTGGATAATATCTAGAACTACTTAATGGAGTGCACCATTTGAGTACTGTACTGGGATACTTAGCCCCAAACAAACCCCAATTTGGTAACATGAATGAATGTCTGATGGAGGGATGGGGGTGGATGGGGAATGAATGGTATGTGTTCCATAAACAAAGAAATCGGGTAAGGCCTAAAAAAGATTGGAAATATTTGCACCAAAGGGGAGGAAAGCATTGTCTCATTTAAGTTTTGTGAAACCACAAGTTGGCCAAAACTCCACAACTGAGCCCAATCAAACTGCAAAGATGCTTTAGCAAGTGCAGGTGAACAAAGGCCATAAATACTCAGCAGCTTAGAGTGAAGACGAGAAGCACAGCCATTGTTCTGAACAGACTTTTCAAGTCACAGAGCCAGATCTGATTGGTTATGTGACAGTTTGTGGCATTGTGACATAGCCATGATGCTAATTAAGCTATCCCTGATTTACTGGAATTGCACCACCAGCAAGAAATAGGGTCAAACAACATGAGAGTTGTTTGACCCTATGAACACCAGTTGTTTGACCCTGTGTGAACAACAGGAAAACATACCAGTGTTGGGAGAACTGAGATGTTTAAATCCATTGCAGTGTTTTTGAACTTTGGTTAAACTCCTCTAGCGGCACAGCAGAAGTGCAGGGATTCTGCGCACCTCCAAAAGGCATCATCTGAGAATGCAAAAAGTCCAGCGAGCTCTCTCCCTCCCAACACCCTAACATTTCTACACTCAAAATGCTTGTGAAGAATTGGTGAAGACTCAATGAAGTGAATGTTCTTATTAAAGGAAGTTAAGTGTCTGTTTAAAGCCAACTCTAATGGCAAATTCAGCCCCCCACACTTCAATATCTGATGTCTTTCTCAATCGGTTCTTTTAAAAATCCTTTTTGGTGGTGAAGGAGTGGGTAGAATGAGACATAACCTCTGCCAAGATAAAAAGTTAAAGGCATTAATGAGCGTGTGATCTATACCATAGTTGTTTGCTTTCTATTTGCAATTATAAGCCCTATACTTTTCCAATGGGTTAATCTGACTTCTTAAAAATCTGCCCGGCATATTCAATGTTTTCCAACTCTGTGGTTTTTATTAAAATAACAGTCTTAGTGCATTATAGTCATCTTAGAACGGCAGAGCTGGAAACAACCCGATGGATCATTGAATCCAGCCCTTGTCAAGGAGGCCCAGTGGGGAATTGAACTCCCAACCTCTTACTCTGCAGCCAGATATCTAAACCACTGAGCTATTATACAAAGAATTCTTCATTATAATTTGTTACACACACATGGACGCACACGCACACATACTGTTTCCCTAAGGAGACCGTAACTGAGTTTAAGAAAGCAAGCCTGCAAATTGCAAACAATTTTAGAAAAAAAAGAGCTGGTGTCCAATCAGGGCCTTGTTTTCTCTCGACTTGACTTGAAACTGTGTCAAGGGAAGGAAAGTGGGGGGTGAAAGTCCCTTTGCAGTGCTGGTCTTAATTCTCACTGGGATTCATTTTAATTAAGAAGCTCAACTGATGTGCAAAGCAAAAGACAAGCTGTTAGGCTTAACGAAGAAAACTCCCTAGATGCCTCAATAAAAACCACATCCATGTGCTACTGTAGAAGCCACCCCAAGGAAGATAACACAGGAGAGAAATGTTTGAGAAGTTAAATAACACAGGAGGAGGAAGGGGTGATTGCAAGGCTGGCTGCTCTCTTGAAAGATTTTAAGGAACAAAACTAAACAGATGGCTGTTTTGGAAAAGTGAAGCTTTTGCTAGGGATGGAGGAAAGTTGCATTTCAGTTTGCTTATAAACATTTTGTAACATTCGCACATTCCTCTTAGAATGGAAAGAACTTGA